GCTTTAGTTCCAGAGACATGCTCCATGAATACTTCCCGCTGGACAAGTGGATGAACTCTCTCCCATATATTAATTTCAATGTTTTATATACAATTATATATATATATTAATTTAATATATAATTTATATATTATATATAAATGTATGACATATTTAATTAATATATATATTAACTTACTAACTTTGATTTAAAAGAAAATATTTAATCTCCTATGCAGACAAAGCCTATGAGATCAGCGTGGTAATGCGTGTATACGGTAGTCCCTCTAAAAATGATCTGACTGAAGAGAGAGCTGAACAATTAAAAGGAAAAGTACTGATAACAAAAAATTGTTCAATACCTATTGATGGATTTCATTTGTGGTTTATATGGAGTTTAGTTTTGTTAGGTTTTTTCTAAACATAACCAACACCCATTAGTTGTAACATTAGTGAATTTTAATTTATTTTAAATTAAACAAAGACACCAGAGATGTATTATAAATCCAAAATACTTCTCGATTTAAAGTTTTTTCAATCTCTTACAGGTGTATGTAGGATCTGACTCCAGATTGGACTGTGATTGTTAACTCACATTTTTTCTCCCAAGACAGGGTTTCTCTGTGTAGCCTTGGCTGTCCCAGAACTGGTTCTGTAGGCCAGGCTGGCCTCCATCTGCTTCTACCTCCTGAGTACTGGGATTAACCACCACTGCCCAGCTTTAAATCTTTTTAAAATTCTTTCTAAAGCATAATATCATCTTTCAGACTATTTCACTGTCTATAAAGTACCTAGTTATATAATTACTTAACAGACCAGCAGCATCTAAGGCCTCAGAGCAGTTCAAAAACTCATTTATGGAAACAGAATTGGGTATGAGTGTGTCAGAAACCAACCTCCCAATCACACTGGCACAGGCACACTTCAAAAACAGTGGTTTGATCCAGGTGCTGGTGGTGTACGCCTTTAATCCCAGTTTGAGGCCAGCCTGGTTTACAGACTGAGTTCCAGAATAGCCAGGGCTACTCAGAGAAACCCTGTTTTGAAAAAACAAACCAATCAAAAACAAAGGGATGATGGAAAATAAGATGATCCACATAAATGAAGTAGCCACTGCCCAAGAGTTCACCTGTGCTGGTATGATGTTCATATATGATCTAACTGCCATTTCCTTCCATACGGTTAAAGGATGCTACTAATGTAATTCTTCTCTTAAAAAGAACTTCAGCAAGACTTTAATGGTTCACTGGTTTCACTGTAACCATTGATTTGCTGACTCCTCCAATAATGCTGCACCGGGAAGCCACTCTGCCACAAATGACAGAGTGGTTACAGAGGTGTAGAATAAAGGGCTTCCTGTGTTAGGGTTACTGAACCAACAGGGGCCCCTGACAGTGGTCCATAAAATGGACCTGGACTTTCCAGAGCCTGTGAAAAGAGTTAACACACTTGAATGGAGCCAAAACATCTGCATAGGTAAGGAAGAAAAAGAAAACAATTCTCAAAATCTAGTTTTGACTCTTATTTAAAATAGTCTTGAAAACTGAATCAGAAGTTCTTCCTAATTCTAACCACTTGTCGGTGAGAGCACACAGTACTTGCCCTGTTTTGTTCCAGGTTTAGTTTTACACAACATTCCTTGGCATTGGGTGGTTCATAATTTATGATGGTTGTCCTCATTTAGAATAGTTAAAGTAGAACATTCTTGGGCTGGCAAGATGGTTCCGCAGATAAAGTGTCTGCTGCTCAAGTAGTTCTGACCCACAGCACCCAAGCGAATGCTCACATAAAATCCCAACCCTGGGGAAGCAGAGGCAGAGGTTCTGAGCAAGCTGGCTAGTGAGACCAACTCAGTCTGTGAGCTCTAAGTTCAAGTGAGAGACCCTGCCTCAAAAATATAAGGTAGAGAGGGGCTGAAGACATACAACATCAACCTCTGACCTCTACACAATGCATGCATGTACACATGAACCTGAGTACACACATGCACACACACATTTGAACAAAACAACAGTATATTTCCCGTAATGATGGATTGAAAATGCTTCCGTCACAATGTATCTACATTTCTTTCTTAAGCATTAAGAATTGAACAACTTCACAAGACTTCTAAAGTCTAGTAACTGTGTACCTGATAATGTACACTCAAATAACCTTTATTTCTTTAATCTTTTAAAAAGATTAAACACATTATAGTGGTTAACAGTAGATCAAAACTCATAATTGGTTTTATGTGTGTGTGAGCATGTGTCTGCATGCACATGTGTTTTAAAAACTTTTCTAATTCTTTTTGGGTGTGTGCATGTGCATTTGTGTCTTAGAAACTGCTCTTCTAGTTCTGCGTGTGTTTACTGTGGAGTATGTGCAGTGAATAAACACAGGCAAGCACAACCTGAGAACACGCACATGGAGGACAGAGGAGGGGTCAGGAGTCCCCTCTGTCACTGTCAGCCTGACTTAGTGGCAGGGTCTCTCCCTGAACCTGGAGGCTGCGCTTTTTCATCTATTCCTTCAGCGTGGCTAGCAGCCAGCAAGCCCCAGTGCTCCTCCTGCCTCTGACCCCCTAGAGCTGCAGCTGCAGGCACATACAAGCCTCACCCTTCTTGTTCATGGTGATGGGATCTGAACTCAGGTCCTCACACTTGCACAGTACGGGCTCTCGACCAGTGGGACATCTTTCCAGCCCCTCACAAAGCAAAATACTGCTATAAGGACAGGTAAAGTCAACAAAATACAATCATAACAAATTTACCTAATAAAATTGTTATGTTCCACCACGGCATTCCGTGTAAGTATTATTGCTGATGTCATCATCTCTACTGAAAGCTGGGGAATTACCCAGTTCCTATATTTGTTAACTTCTCTTTCTTTTTCAAGTTATCAAATACCTAGACTTCGTTTTTCCTCCAACTCTTGGGATTAGAAATCAGAACCCAAGGTCTTCACATGCTGAGCAAGAGCTCTAGCACTGAGCCATCCTTAGACCTTGTTTTTCTGCACCATAATCTTAGTAGGTAGCTCAGGTCGGTCTTTTACTTATTATGAAGCCAAGACTGACTTCAAATTTGGTCCTTCTACCTCACCTCCCAAGTGCCGGGATTACAGGCATGTTCCAACAGGCTTAGGTTTCATTAGATTGCTGCTCTGTTGTGGGCTTATAAAAATATTTCCATGTAGGCCAGCAAAATGGTTCAGTGTTAAAGGAGCTCTTTGAACCATATCACCAGGGTATATTTTTCACAATGATGTATTTACAGAATAAAAATTAATTTCTATAGGTATTTCAGTTGAAAATCTTTATCTTATAAGGTAAATGATAAGAATAATTGAACAAAACCTATATGATTTAATTGAATTTTGTGAATTTAACATATCTGGAGAGAAGGAAAGCCAGTCACCATAATTTTCTGTTCTTTTCTTCCCATGTTCATTCCCTCTCCTGACTGATTTCTAGAAATTTCAGCTATTTCAATATAGGTAAGTAGGGAAAATATGTTTCTGGACTTAAACAATTATATATTAAAAGGTTACAAAAATACATATCCCAATACAGAAAGATAGTCTACTACATACCTTTATTTTGCATTCAGTTTAAAATTTACCATTTTAAGATTTTGTATGTACCTCTGTCGATCTTTAAAATACCGTTTGCAGTCAAATCTAGTAATGTGATACAGTTTTTCTTTAAAAAAAATCTCGAGCCTTTTTGCACATTAGTATATAACCTAATTTTCAGAAATGTGGAACTACTGTTTCTTCATCCTAAGGCTGAATAGTAAGAACACCTTCCTACACAAATGTAAAACTGGTTTTAACACGCCTCTACCATTAAACAGTTTAGGTTCACGTGTGTAGATGAGCCATGAGCAATGGAAGGTCATCCACTGGGAAGTCCTCCATCTGATACGAGCACGAGAGCTTTCGAGTCTAACTTAAAAGTCTAAGTTCATTTTGTTTTTCCTCCAAGTATAATTTATGTTCAAATCCGTCCCTACAAAAACACCCGAGCCGCTGATGCGCAGGAGACATTAAGGTGCTGGCAATGCTTCGTATCAGCTGTCAGAACTCCCCACCGGGTGTGTACCTGCTACCTGAGTTTGCTCCCACACTTCCCAACATTTTAAACCTAGAAATGGTCCAAGGCACTGCTGGGAAAAGCTTAAGTTTCCTTTTAACACTGGATACAAAGTAAAGTCAAGCACAGAAGAAAGGAACATGACACAAAGACCGCCATAAGAAGGTTCCACGTAAGCCTTAGGGTTTTGAGGATGCTACCAAGAAGGACGAGATACCACCAATAGTAAAGGCCGATATTCACAGAGACGTCTTCAAGCCTCCCAACATCTCACAAATTCTCAAGCTGAGGAGTTCATTCAGAAACTTGCCCTTGATCAGAGGACTTGTAACTGGGACAACTGGGCTTCAAACCAAGTCATCTGTGTGTCTGTGTGTGTGCATGCGCACATGCATGTTCATCCAGAGGACATCCGGTCCCTGGAGCTAGAGTTATGGGCATTTGTTACAGCACCTGATGTGTGAACCCCACTCCAGTCTTCTGAGAGAACATCAAGTACTTTTAATCAATGAGCCATCTCTCCAGCCCCTAGAAGTCTAGACTTTTAATCATTATTATTGTCATTGCCTATTCTCTCTAGTTCTTAGGTAGAAAACATTTATTTAAAACCACTGTATAGCTGCTAGCCTCTTGGGATTCCATACTATGAAGGCATATAAGAAAGTATGAAGGCATACTATTACTATGTAAGAAATACCATGCTAGCTGATAAAGAGATAAAGAAGTGAATGACTTTGCCTCAGGTCTCACACAGAATACAACATGTATGAACAGTTTGTCATTAAAGACTTTTACAGCTTATCATAAAAATTTTATAAGCAATTGTTATTGATAAGAACTTCTAAAATCTTCAAATTCCCTATTAAGTTTTCAGGAAGCGCCATTTCTCCGATCCCAAACTGCTCATGCAGTGAGGTAAAAAGCGTTGGCTCTGTCACTAACTTACATTCTCAATGACAAACGTCCACTCCTTGTCTTCAAACTCTTCAGCATGAGGATCCTGCAACAAAAGCAAATTTCGAGAAGTGAAAAACACTTTCACTAGTCCAGTTGATGCAACCAAGAAAACACAAGTAAGCTTGACTGCTGCTTTACTAACGTTTTAAAAGGAAAGAGCAAAATAACCTCTTTAAAGAAAACTGAGTAATTTCTCTAAAACAATATTTTATATTAAGAAATTCTTTTCCTTTTTTCCCAGCGCTGCATCTATGACAAGGCAAAGACACATGACCACAGACAGACAACTCTGAGTCAACAAGTATTTCCGTGACTAAACGCTCACACAAAGTTCTTCTACAACTTTTAGTATTTGAAACTCAAAGCGCCAGTTGAGACGCTGTGTTCCGACACAGAGATTATGCGAACCCCTAAGTATTCCAAGGGATTTCAGAATCAGACAACAGCCAGTCAACACGAGCTGCTGTCAACCCTCTTCCCACCTCTGCTGTTAGGACCTGAGGAATCTAGGGGCGAGGGATCCTGCCACCACAGGCAGTGCTGTTCGTATGTGAGGCACACTTTTGCTGGCATGTAGCTGACAAATACTAAAAACTACCCTAGCAATTGCAGACGTCACCTATGGACTCGTGCATACTTGTTCCTGTATTTAAAGACACAGTCCATACTCTCCTAGGAATATGTGTATTATAAACAAAATCAAAGACCTCACTGGAGATGAGAAAACAACACATTTCATCTTGCAGAAATGAACAAGGAAAGCGTCACAAGAGAGAAAATACCCAGACGCAGAAGAACTGTGTGCGGTTTTCACACGTATGGCAAGTAAAGACAACAGAGTGCACAGAGAACAAAGCGAAACGTGAATCCTCTGCTTCCTGGCCGCCAGGGGTGCACGTGAGCAAGGTCCTGCCCCAGGTCCTCCCCGCCACAACATACAACTTCTCCTTCAAGTTGCTTCTGTTGGAGTATTTTCTCACAGCAAAAGGAAAGGTAACTAAGACACGGGGCAAGAAAAATAGCAATATTGTAACTTTTAAGCTGTAAATTCTTGATACAGAAACTGGCATTCCTTCAAATCCATTTCAAAGTGATCAAAATTTTACAAGAAAAAATAATTCAATAACTTTAAAAAGAAGAAGTAGTGGGCTCATAATATGTTTATATTCGATATATTCAAGTTCAAGTCTGTGTGAGGGGTAGATATACACAGTACAACGGTATTTCAGTAGAGCGGACTGTCTTCAGACACCAAAGATCAGACACATCCACACGGAGATGGACTCTGGGATCTCTGTACCGGGTCTCAGGCTCCACCTGCTCCTCACTGGGAAGTCTCTTGTTCATAACATAATCTTCTGTTGCTATGGTCACAGTTGAGTTTCCATCCTGGTTATCTCAAGGTAAAGGGGGCTACAACAGTATCTCAGTTCATTTACCTTTCACCCACAGATTAATCTTCAGGCCAAACTCTAACCATGTTAGCATGACTCAAATTTCCTTTAGTCCCTTATAATACATGTGATATAATAATACACAAATATACAAATAATAAAATCCCAGGAACAGATATGGGGGTTCAACCTGAAGATCAAAAAAGCAAGACAACCAAGCCACTAGAGAGCTCTTACCTCTATGAAATCTTCAGACTGAACGAGAGCGAGTTCCTGTCTCATCCCACCTTATATTCCTCTCTAGTGCTGGAATTAAAGGTGTGCACCACCACCACCCAGCCTCTGTGGCTAACTAGTGTGGCTGCTGGGATTAAAGGTGTATGCAATCATTGTCGGGCCTGTATGTCTGACTAGTATGGCTATTTTGCATTCTGATCTCCAGGCAAGCTTTATTTATTAAAATATAAATAAAATATCACTACAGTGATAATCCCAGACTTCAACCAGGCCTAGTGGCACATGTGTGTATGCCCAGTTCCAGTGACTATAAAGACTGGAAGGGCTTTTTATAATTGAATTAGGACACAAACAGTACTACTCGGAGACTAAGTAATAACATGACAACGCTGAGGAGAGCCATCCTACCATCTTCCTGCCTGTTGGTTATTTAGAAATGCAGCACAAATGGTATCAGCGACACAGAAGCATTATTGAACACTCAGTGTTTAGTTAATGTGAACTTTTGAGAGAGGTACTCTTCTTATTTCCATTTCACTGAGCAGCAGACAGCAATGGTACAAATGTGAATGCTACACTGGAGTTCCAGATCACCTGACTTTATACACTTGTTGACTCAGTTAACCACTGAGCCTCCAGCCTCAAGAAACATGCATGGCACACAGCAGCCTCTCGAAAATATTGGATAAATTAATTCATGAATAAATAATACATCGATAAACAAATATTTAACAATGCCTTCATATAGTTAAACTTCACTATTTAAAGCAAATAAAACATTTTGAGACACAGATGAAATAGTATACCTAAAACAATTGTTAAAAAATTATTTCATGAGGGCAAAGAAATAACCTGATAGAAACTTCAGGAAACGATGTGAAAGCAGCAACAACAACATTCACTTCTTAGGCACTTTGAAGTGGATATCTACAGAATTATTTTATTATGGACCAGACAAAACATCTGGAATTAATCAAGTCTGCTCTATTTACCTCTAACTGTTGTCAACTTTCTTACCTCTTCGCTTCTGAAACTCTGTAATACATTTTTAAATTTTTTACTAGCCATATCTATTTTCAATTTAGTTGGAATTTCAAAAACCAGCATTAATCTAAAGAAATCAACTTCGAGTTAAATTACAGAGGTGAAACATGCTGATAACTTTCTTAAAAAGTATTTCTCGAGCATTTCTCAGGAAGATGGCTCAGCAGTTAGAAGCACTAGTTGCTCTTTCGAGGGACTCAGGTTCGAATCCCAACAGCCATGAGGCAGCTCAGAATCATCTGTAGCTTAAGGTCCAGAGGATCCAACACCCTCTCTGTCCTCCTCAGCACCAGCCACACACACACAGTGCAGACATACATGCAGGCAAACACGACATCTATAAGATATTGATTTTCTTTTTTTAATTTAGGGGTTCTGGAGAGGTTTCTCAACAATTAGGAACACTGGCTGCTGCTCTTCCAGAGGACCTAGGTAACATCCTTGGCACCACCAAGATGGTGGTGGTCCTTGGTATCTCGGACCATGGAACTCCAACCAGGGATTCATGCCATCCACAGGCAGCACACACATGGGGTACACAAGAGGTGCAATGTAGACACCTATACCCACAAAAATAAACTTTTACAAAATAATTCAAAAAGTATTTCTCTGTGAATTTACTTGCATGAATGTCTTGGAACATTTATAATATCAAATTATATCAGCTGTGAAACTTGAAAGGAGGGGAAGTATGAGGAAATGTTTTACTTGAATATTTAAGAGCTGTTCAAAAACAAAATCCAAAACTTAGCATGAAAGAATGAAGTTGTTTCATTTTTTTAATTTTTTTTCTATCAGAATTCTGGGTGATGTGGAAGATGAATGACTCACTGAAAATACTCATTTAAATATTGGAAAAAGGTTACCAGGTTGCCCCAACAATATAACCGAGTAGAAAATGCTGCAGGCTAGGAAGGAGGGCTTTGTTCCCTAAATCTTGATGCTCAAAGGCATGAATGCTCAGGGAGAAGCAAACCCCACACAGGATGGAAAACCACTCTTAACTTTTGATCTTCCAAGCAACAATTTTAACAGCTACTTTCAACTCAGACTCTTTCTGAAAATGGCTGTGAACTACGTTTCAACTCCATTCCAATCCCCTGTTCTCTACCATTAAAAATAAACGTGAAACACTGTATAACTTTGTCTACTCATTTGTGTTAACCAATATGAGCAGACTAAACAAGAAATTTACTTGATGAGATTGCTTAAAAGTCTTTCTCAAGCATATCAGAGATCTTGCACCTGTAGTAAATATTCATAACCTATTACTACAGAGTAGGCAGTTCACTATAGACCAACGCTGTGACCTTCCTAATGCTATAATCCTTTAATACAGTTCTTCATGGGGTGGTGCCCCCCAACCATAAAATTATTTTGTTGCTACTTCATAACTGTAATTATGATACTAATATGAATCATAACTATCTGATATGCATAATATCTGATATGGGGGTGACCCACAGGTGAGAACTGCTCTGGTCTAGAGGAAAGAATTGGGTTAACTCAAGGTATTTGGGAACATTCACCTCCCCACTGGTCTTAGCTCCCTTATCAGTAAAATGGAAATATTGATAAACCCTTGGAGCTCCGTTGAGAACAAACTGATATGGACAAAGACTCAAGAAGTATTGCTCTTCACTACCATGCTTAGGGTATCATTCCAACAGGAGAAATATGCAAAAGAAGGGTTTCGTAGCAGCCTCTGAGGACAGCCAGTAGAAAGGCAACAGACTGGCTAGGGGAAAAGATGAACAGAAAAGCAGCTACCACTTCCTCTCTTATTTTTCCCTAAGCAAAGTAAGATGATGGTGATGATGGTGTCACCACCAACAACAATATATGTGTGTGATATATATGGCAAGCACAATGAAGTGTGTGTGTGTGTGTGTGTGTGTGTACATATGTACGTATGTATATATGTATCAGCAAATGGGAGGCAGAGTTAATCTGCCTAGATTTCTTTGACTTCCAGGCAAGCCAGGGCTACACACACACACACACACACACACACACACACACACACAGTCTTTCATCCTTCAAGCTGTTTCTCTTAGGTATCTGTCACAGCTATAAGAGCAGTCATTCATATCCTTGGTCACTTGGTCACAAAATCAAAAGCACTCTTTTACACTGGCTTCACATTCTGAGCTCTACTTAATTGTCCTAGAGCATTTAATGGACACCTCCTCCTTCCAATACTCTCTAAAACAATTTTAACATGAATCCATGAATCATTCAGAGAAGTAATGCAGAGAGAGAGAGAGAGAGAGAGAGAGAGAGAGAGAGAGAGAGAGACCGAGCATGTGTTCCTCGAACCTGGGGAGTCAAGCATCCTAAACAAGTACTCTATTACTGAGCTACATCACCACACCCCTTTTCTGTTTCCTAGCCACCCATTCCATTGTCACACACCCTTTTTTACTTCCCCACCTCCCCATGTCCCCACAGATTTTTGAGACTGGTCTCACGTAGCCCAAGGGTGAACAAAATACATAGCAGAAAATGTCTTTGAAGTGAGAGAACAGGAATCACAGGCTGCACCATGTCAAGTCTCTCTGCTCTCTATTTTGAGACAGGGCCTTAATTTACCCTAGCCTTGAACTCACTCTGTGGCTTAAGCCTTGATACTGTGACCCTTCAATGTCAAGTCCCCCGTGCCATCAGCTTTGGCAAGCATTTGTTTTCTGATCCTACCACTTCCAAAAGGCTAATAATAGGACATATTTTGCTCCCACTATTTCTTGAGAGCAGAAATGTTGATTAGTAAACTGGTGCTTAATTATCATATGTGTTGAATATTTTATGATATTTAAAGAAATAAGGCAAATATCAAGAGAAAACACACAAAAGACAGAAAAACAGTATATGAATGCCTGTATTTTTATCTGTACTTTAAAATTGCTTTTAAGTTATAACTTTCATAAATATCAATGTTAATAAAATATTTTAACTAGTGGGCTTGATGGCACATGTCTTTACTCTCAGCAGAGGCAGAGTTCAGCAGATTTCTGTGCGTGGATTTGAGGTCAGCAAGAATAAGTTCCAGGCCAGACAGAGCTACCTAGTAAGACCCTGTCTCAGTATATATGTATATATATGTACATATGCATAATTATATACATACATATATTACATAGTGCTTAGTATATGTGTATGGATATGTATATTTACTGTTATAATTGATTTTGACCAAAAAGTCAAGAAGCAAGTGACCAGTTATTAATTTTAAATACATCATGTTGTGGAATATTAGTTTAAGATGTTACATTGGTTTATGCAGTAGAATATTTATTTAATGATGCAAAGATGCATTGCATTCTTTTATGTTGCATTTGCTTAATTCTGTAAAGCTGTGTTACTCTGCCAACCCCAAATATCTGATTGGTCTAATAAAGAGCTAGGCAGCAGAAGGATAGGTGGAGTTGCCAGGCAGAGAAAATAAACAGAAGGGAGAAAAAGAGAAGAGAAGGAGGGAGAAAAGGAGAAGGAGAGAAAGACGCCACGTGACTGCAACCCAGCCACAAAGCCAGCCATGGAGTAAAAAGGGAAGAGAAATATATAGAATAAAGGTAAAAAGTCCAGAGGCAAAAGACAGACGGGATAATTTAAGAAAAGCTGGCTAGAAACAAGCCAAGCTAAGGTTGGGCATTCATAAACAAGAATAAGTCTCCATGTATTTATTTGGGAGCTGGTGGCAGGCACCCAAAGAGTTAAAAAAACAACAACAACAATATCATGGTGCATTAACACCAATATTTACTGAATACTGATTTTTAAAGTAAATTGTTATCAAACAAGTCAACAAAATGAGGAGGGGAATAGACTTCACAAACTTCAGCTTTGCACAGGAAAAGTAGGCCCAGGGGCCTTTATGGATCTAAAAGTCTATGGTGTCTTTACAGTGTACAAACCTCCTCCTTGGAAATGACACCATCAGGTAAGCAGATGCACTCAATAATCGTGTGATAATCGTATACAGAAGCACATACAGATGCCACAATAAATTCAGATTACACAAAAAGAACTTACCTTAAAAAGAGTCACAGTGATCTCAATGTTTTCAGGAACAGGCCAAACAACCACACCACGGTATGGATTTTTTATTCCAGGTTGCCAGCTGTGAGCCTACCAGAATAAAAATGAAAGCTTCAGTTATGAAGTGTAAAAAATGTGAGGTTAGCAAGCAACAAAAGTATATTAATCTAATTTAGGTATCCACTAAGGTCTATGGTCTCCCTCAGACAAAAATCACTAGACAAAATAAAAGCAAACATGAGAACAAAACAAAATATTTTAAGCATTAAGCTTGGGTCAGAATAGCTCAAACAAATGAAAGCTATAGATCGATAAGCAAACCCTCATCTACCCCACTACACAAAAATGCAGGCATGCTACAAGAAATGAATGAAAAATAAGACATCTCATGTTCTTAAAGGCTGCTATTTCTGATTATGGAAAACTTTAACAAGGAGCAATATTTCAGATTATTTTTGTGATTGAGAAGTTTGAGACAAATTTATTCCTTAAAAGGGAAATCTCAAGTCTGAAGAAATGTCTGAGTGATTAAGAGTGCAGGCTGTTCTTCCAGAGTACCGGGTTTAAGTCCCAAAACCCACATGGTGGCTCAAAACCATCTGTAACTCCATTTCCAAGGGATCCAACATCCTCTTCTGACCTACACGGGCACTAGGACTCAAGTGGTACATGATATACATGCAGACAGAACAACCATATGCATAAAATTTGGGGAAAAAAAAGAAATTTCAGGAAAATCTAGCAGGGTGCAGCCATGCATGAGTGATCCCAGCAACCGAGAGGCCGAGGGCTCTGGAAAGAGGAGGAGGGGGAGGTATTTAAGTTCATTTCCCCTAAATTGCAATGCTTCTTATTTAGGACACATGAAAGCAAACTGTAGCTTTTCCAGTCTATGTTTCTAATTCTTGTGATTTGGGAGGTGTTTTACTTATAAACTTTGATTACCAAAATTCCCTTGGAAACTTCACCACCCCGACTTTCAAGTTCATCACCAGATCTCCCTGTGTGTTATTAACCAAAGTTGAGCTGAAGAGACATGTCATGCCAGGACAGGGCTAGTACGTTTTCATCTTTACATGCCGCAAAACTGTGGATGTGTCTGAAGAAGATAACAAAAGCCAGCAATTAAAGTGTACTTTCTATGTGTCAGTCCACAAACTAAGGTCAGAGTCTGTCAAACTCATCACACGTGTATAAGAAACCTTCCTATAGGTGGAAATTACTCATTCCCCACTCTCCAGGTCACTGGGCCACAGAGCTGGAAAAGATTTCATGCTTTGGTGGAGGGGGGTTATGATATACATAGTAACAGACACACAAATTCTTCAGATTACCTAAGCAGTATGTTACATGGAGCATAAGTGTCAGGGGAAGAAATAAAGAGAGTAAGGAGACAGGGGTCAGAAGGGCAATCAGGTGGCTTCCTGGAAGCCTTCTGAGGGTGGGATAACACCTGGCACCAAGCACACCAAGTTTGTAACAAGGTAACATGTCTGGAGCAGAGCGGCCAGGGAGTGCCGCCGGCGACAGTGGAGGCCCAGCCGGGAAGACCCTATTAGGCCTCTCAAAAGATACTCATTGGAAGGTTTAAAACAGGAATGCTGATCTAAGCTGTGTTTAAGTTGCCTCTTTCAGCCAGTGAGTCCACATTGGGCTTAGTAATCGAGGAACTAACAAGGAGAAAGCCGCTGCGATGGTGAGGAGAGCTGGGGGGGGGGGGGGGGCGTACGTAGCGGGGGGCGTTATGTGGCATAGAGTAGCCACATTCTGGTACACTGTTTCATTTTACAGATAGTGGCCAAGATCTGCTGTTTTATGTACGAGAGAATGAAAGTAGCAAGAGCTGAGTGAGGGGAAAGCTGTTTTGTTCTTGAGGAACTAGAAGAAAGAAACTGCCACTAATGTATATGAGGCAAGGCCAAGCTCAGGAGCTCAGTTTTATACACATCAATCTCAGTTGCCTATTAGATACACAAGTTCAGGTCTTCAAACAGGAAGCTCAATCAAGTATTGTTACAATTTGGGAATTATTAGCATACAGATATTACTGAAATCTTTAGAATGGATATGATCCTAGGAGAGTGAGAACAGATAAAGAATAAGAAATCTGGGTTGGGATGTAGTTCAGTGATGGACCACTTTCCTGGCATGCATCTGGCATGCAAACCCGGGGGTTTGGGAGGGTAGTCTGCACTGAGACCTTGGGTACAACATGAACAAGACAAGGAAATGAAACAAAAGCGACAAAGGTGTGTCAGGAGAGTAAAGAAAACGCAGGAGCATGAGGTGCCCGAACCACGCTGTAAAGAGAAGGACCCACAGCTGTGACAGGTGAAACAGCAGAAAGCCTGGAAAAGACCACCAGATTCAACAACGGAGAGCTGCTAACATCAGAACAAGCAGCTTCAATGCTGTAGGCCAGAGGGAAAGTCAGACTGGAATGAGCTCAGAGAAAAAGGAAGAGAGAAACTGAAGGTACTTCACATGAACACAATTACTATAAGGGAAAGAAAAAAGTTACCCACAGCAGAGAAAATAACATCTGAAGAGAATCTGTAAAGACAAGAAATGCACTTATGCTAATGGGAAATAGCCAGTTAAGAGGGAAACCGTGATGATGCAGAAAATCAAAGGAGAAAAGAGGACTGGCCTCGGACACAAGAAGACAGCTGGGGTTTTGTTTCAATTCCAGCAGCAAAGGCCACTTTCTCATAACAACAGTACATGACTACAGCTACAAAGACCGATGAGCAAGGGGGCGGAGTCTCCCAGCGCAGGACCTGCATTTGCACTCCAGAACCCATCTAAAACTGGCAGGTGTGCTTGTGCGCGGCTGGAACCCAGAGCCGGGGGGAGGGGGGTCACTGGGCAAAGAATGAAAAGTCTAAAACAGGTACCTAATGATAATTTTGGTGATTAGACAAAAAGACAGACAGATAAAATTATGCGGAGCCATCAAAACTGTAAGTTATGAGATACAGATAGGCTGGACAGTGGTGGTGCACGCCTTTTATTCCAGCACTTGGAAGACACAGGCAGGTGGATCTCTGTGAGAGTTCAAGGCCAGTCTGAGGTCAGCTAGGGCTGTTACACAGAGAAACCCTGTCTTGAAACGCCAGAGAGAGAGAGAGAGAGAGAGAGAGAGAGAGAGAGAGAACACATCATTGGTAAATATCAGTGCTCTAAGAACCCTGGTCAGTTTCCACGCAGGATTAGCAGGATAATAGAGATGAATTTCCCTAGAAAGAGATTGCATATAGAGACACATGTAGAAGTAGTCTCCGCCTTAGCACAGTTAGCGAGGCGCTGCCCTACAACTGATAACTACAATTACGATCATTTGCCAGCACCCTGATACAGCTGAGCGGTCAGGACACATTACTCTGATCTCTGTACAGTTTTCCTTTCTTACTTTTTGGGTCATATATATTAATATCTTTTGGTATCTGTCAAAGGCAGGCCTGGAAAAAATGTAACACTACTTAATTGAGGATACTCTGATTGTAGTACTGAATATGAACTTGCCACAGCTTAGCATGGGAATAGTCTCAATTAAGGAAGTATCTTGACTAGGCTGGCCTGAAAGCATGTCTGTAGGGGATTTCTCTCAGCTGTTCACTGACCCAGCACACTGTGGGCAGCACATTCCCTAGGCTTGGCCCAGAACTGTGTGTTGGAGAAGAAAGCTTGGTAAGCAACAAGCAAGCAAGTAAAACAGAGTAGGTTCATCCATTTCTCTCTGTTCTAGACTCTGCATGTGATGGGACTGACTGCGTATTTCTGCCTTGATTTCCCTCTATGATGAACTGTAACTTTGAATTGCAAGCTAAAACAAACCTTTCCTCCCTTAAGATGCATTTTTCCGGGATATTGTAATATAGTAACAGAAATGAAACTTGAACAGGTACTAACTCCATAAAATACACTGACTGCTTTCCAATTATTTCACGCCACACTTACCTAAAAGATTGGTCTTACTATACATAATCAAAGTGTCCCAGTGAGGGCAAGGAGAAGGCTAAGTAGGTAAGGTGCATCCATGCAAGGGTGTGGACGTGAGAGCTCAGCAAGCCAGGACCTATGGAAACGCTCAGTGGATGTGGCACCTGCCTGGAATCCCAGAACTTGAGAGAAGATCCCTGAAGCAGGCTGGCTAGCTAGGCTAGCCCAGTCAGCAAGCTCTGGATTTGAGAGACCCTGCCTCAATATATAAGGTGGCCTCCTTATATAGGTGCACATACGTGCAACCACACACCTACAAACATGCACACACACGCAGCAGAAAGTTTCACTAAAATTTCCAATTTTATACTTCATTAAACTTATATTTTACAAATTTTAAAAGTGCATATACTGTGTTTCATATGTCACCTATTAAGCAATTTGACTGTGCTGACATAACCTCCATCAGGTAAAGCTCCCGAGTGTATCCCTCCTCCTGACATGTGTTACACATGTGAAATACCCCATCACAAAGCAAGGCTACGGAAGGTGATGGTGACAGCTTTCCCTCTGGTATTCTTACAGCTCTCTGCAAAGTTCAAATTCTAGTTAGAAAGTAAAACATAAAATGCCATGTTCATTCTGGTTTATGACAACTGCCCGGGTGCTGTGTCACATATACTGAAAACTTATTTATGTGTGCCTTTACAGATCAATTACAGCTTGACAGAGTCCGTGATATAAATGTCATTACTTGAGAAAGGAGGAAAGCTTCGTATTGTGTTAATTGCCCATACTAATTATTTTAATCAAAATGAATCTGCAATGAGATCTTTAAATAGTTAGCCATAAAATATACATATACCAACAGAAAATGAGCAATTAACTAGGAATTAAACTTTAAATTAAAAAGGCAAATGTGCCTAATTATTTACTGACTAATTTAACTGTCAGTATAATATCTTATCTGAGTGTCAGTTTTAAACTTCCTTATCTAGCTATTATGTGTAATGTATAAAACGTTTCCATAAATGTAGAGGACATATCTACATATCATACACACACACACACACACACATGTTATAAGCTTAACTCTGTCAGTTCCCATAAACTGTTATACCTCTAATATTCCAAGAAAACGACAGGAATTCTAAAGTACAGTAACATTTGAAAGACGGGATTCCAGGGCTGTCCTTGTCCACTGATGCTCAATTCTTTACATAAATGATGTGGTGTGTGCATATGACCTGTGCAGTTGTTCCCATGTGCTTTAAATCGTCAAGACATTTACAAACGCCCACTGCAATGCGGGGCAGTGTAACTAACTGCTCGTTATCCCATACTGCGTAGGGAATCATGAGGGCAGGTTTTATATGTGCTCCAGACAATTTTTGGAGACAGGTTTCTCAAAGCCCGGGCTGACCTTGAACATCTGATCCTCCAGTCTCCACTTTCCCAGGTACTGAGATTACAGATGGTCCCACCACACCTGGTTCACTCACAATATTCCCCAAATATTTTCCATTCATAGTTGGTTGAATCCACATGTATGAAAACTCCTAAATACATAGCTGACTGTGTATAAAGAAGGCTTTGAAGAACATTAAAACTAAGAAATAAATAGAATAAAAAGTAATTTCTTATAAAATATGCTGGTTTCTGAGAAAATTAATCTGTATTTCATTACCTAAATTCAAACAATATCTGATATCATGAGAAAGAATCTTTCCTTCATAAAAACTACTTAATGTCAAATAAGTCATTAATAACAAAGTATATTCAGTATCAAAATGAGTATTTTCTGAACTAACTTACAACCTAATTTATTATATTTCCTAATATCACTCTTACTTTTAGCAAGTTCTTAAGTTAAAAGGTACCTGTCCTTTCACCCAGAACTGCATTCCCACAGCCAAGAGAAACAAAAAATACTTGAGCAATAATGATTCTAACTATTAACACTGACAAGGGTGAAAAAGAGTACATAATCAGGGGCTGAGTAATTAATCAACTTGCAGTATATTCACATAATGGTATACTATCTAGCAATAAAACCATAAACTACAAAAAATAAAATAAAACAAGAGCATAAACACATCTCAAAAACACGATGCTGAATAAAGAAAACCACACATAAAATAGTATATTATATAAAAATTATACATAGTACTATTTAAAATATACAGTGCTATAAAAATACTATTTTAGCACTTCTATATGAAATTCAAAAATAGGTAAAATTAGTCTTTACTGACAGAAAATCAAAATAATGCTAGTCTCTGAGGGTTGGGAACTGCCTGAAGAAACAAAAAAATTTATGTTGATAGAAATCTACATTTTGATAGGAGTATTATTTATACAAGTATGTATATACAAATTGTATTTATAATATGTGTATTATAAATTATAAATGTGTATACTCACAAATTATAATATATATCACTGTGGCGATTTGAATACGAATGACTCATATATTTGAATGCTTAATCATCAGGGAATAGCAAAACTTGAAAAGGATTAGGAAGTATGGCCTTGTTGGAGGAAGTGTGCCACTGGGGTTGGGCTCTGAGACAATAGCTGGATGTGGCCCAGTGTCTCTCTTCCTGCTGCCTATGAATCAGATGTAGAACTCTTAGCTGCTTCTCCAGTACCATGTCTACCTATGACACCATGTTCCCCACCATGATGACAATGGACTAAACCTCTGAAACTGTGAGCAAGCCCCAATTAAATGCTTTCTGTTATAATAGTTGCCATGGTTGTGGTGTCTCTTCACAGCAACAGAACAGTGACCAAGACACTCACTGAACTGAATAACTAAGGTTTGGTTAATTATGGATGCATAAGTTTTACCTTAATAAAAATAAAACTAGAGGCCAGATGTGGTGGGACACACTTGTAATCCCAGCACACAGGAGGCACAAAAGGGAAGATCACAAGTTCTAAGACAGCCTAAGACACAAAGTGAGATCATGTAACAAAAACAAACAAAACCCACCTTGGAAGATGCCTTTAATAATTTTTTAAATTTCAATTACTAACAATTAACAAACTTTTCTTAATACAGATCTTTCTATATGGAAAAACCAACTTCCAATAACTATGTTTACAGTCTTGTGCTCACAAAAAAATGTATTTCTCTACGGAACAGAAAGTTTAAAAGTAGTTACAGAACTGGACATTTTAAAATTCTGTCTAGTCTCTATCTGGATGAAGAGAAAAAAGTCAACCCCTGCTCTCCTGAGACCCAGCAATGGACTCAGACAACTTGACACTCCTCAATGCTGAGTCCTCCCCTCAACATCCGAACAAACTAAGTCTGGGCACAGATTTGTACACAACTGTTCAGAGTGGACTCACCTTGGAAGACTTCCTCCGACTTCTTCTTGTCCAGACTACCACCAATTTATCTGGCTGCCTGTTAAATTTAAAAAAAAAAAAAAAAGCAAGTTTAGTTTTAGCATCTTTAAAGGGACAAACGTGGGCTGGGGTGGCTCCACAGAAGAAATGCTGTCCACTCAAGCACAAGGACCTGATTTCGTACCCCTAGCACCAGACAATAGCTGGATGTGGCAGTGTGTCCTGAAGGCAGAGGCAGGAGGATCCCAGGGCCAGGTCAAAATAAGGGCTGAGGTTCACTGAGAACCCTGTCTAAGGAACTAAGATGAAGAGTGACAGAGATATCAGAAAATGACCTCCGGCTGCTAACACAAACATACAGGTGAGTGACTGCGTGTGCACAGACATGCACAAACACACACACACACACGAGGATAAAAGTGTCTTCTACTTTAGATTACACAAAGTAGTTAAACTTCAGAGGTCTATATCCAAATACAGTAGGTGATATATTCAGATGTGAGCTAACAGAAGTAACTAATATTTCCTCTATAGACTTTTCTTTAAAAGTATACCAAGTTAATTCACTGCGACAAACCAATAGAATACAATACCTAAAATTGATTTAGAGAAAATAAGCATTAAAAGGGCCTCCATAACTTGTCTGTATCGTACACACAATGCTTCCGGCTTTCAGACATCTTCAGAATCATCTAATCACCCTCACAGAAACAATGCTGTGCTGAAAAATGCGTATAGTACAAACTTGACCTGTACAAGGTCGTAAGCAGCCTTGAAAACTGACAGAGTCGAGACTCTAACTGAGACCTTCCGATCTTCTGCCAACGGAAATACATCTTTAGCTAGTACAACTAAGTTCTCCTGCATATGTCTGGAAAATAATAAGATTATTATTACCCATTATTTTACTTACATTTTGACTTATTAAAAAAACTTAATTAAAGCATTTCCCATGCCAGGCTTAGTGACACAGCCTACAATCCCAGGTGCTCCCTGGAGACTGCGACGGGAGGGTTAGAGCTCAAGTGTAGCGGGAGCGGAGATCCTCCAGCTAAGAAGAAAAGTGAAGAGAGCCCAGAGCATTGCCTAGCATGCGCGAAGACCTGGACTTAAACCTCAGTACTGAAAAGGAAAGTTAGATACACAATAAACAAGATAAGCAAAAATAACCTGCAACTACATACATTACAGAGAGGCAGGGATACAGAAAAAACAAATAACAAGGTCACTGACAAATGAGTAATAAACCGGTGGAAGTAATTAAACTTCTCATTAATAACAACAGTCCCAGAGACAGTGGAGTCAAGACTTCAAGTGCGAGAGGAAAATAGCTGCTACCCTAGAGTTCACATCCAGGTAAAGCGTCACGTCAGCACCGTTTAGGTCCAGCAGCAAAGAGTAGCTGCTGCCAGCCTGACCACCTGAGTTCAATACCCCAAATCCACACAGCAGAAGCAGAGAACTGACTCCCACAAATTATCCTGACTTCCACACGATACAAGTGCACACATACACAATACACACACACACATACATACATACATATACACATGCATATGTGTAATAAAAAGGATTACGCACAAATATGAAGCATTCACAATGTAAAGAGGGAAGATGTAGAGAAGCAAAAGAAGTAAGGTAAATGCTAATGGGTGTCTTTTTATGGGGCGGGAGTTAACATAACACACACACACAAAGACACACAAAAATAACTTGAAGGTGCCAAAATGAAAACTTTTGAATAAGAACTTATTCAATGTTTCTGATGGCAATAATAAGCAAAATGATGTAATTCAATTGTGATGACTCTTCCCAGAGTGAGATGTTAGGAGCAGTGACCAGGTGACTACGATGACAATTTCTATAAAACAGCATTAATCTGAGGCTTTGTACCAACAGAGAACAAAAACAAAAACCAAAACCAAAACCAAAACTCTCCTCTCTCTGTCCTCTCTCTCCCCAGGCTCCCCCTCAAGCAGCTGTAGTCTTTAAGGTGACTGACTGAGACCTGACCATATGACCTGTAGTCATGCAAGACATCAACAATGGTTAATAGCAGTACACTACCGGACTGGCTTACCTTCTAGTATAACTCTAAGTAATCCATAAACATCTTCTCTCCAATCAAGCCCTGAATGCACATCCCTTAGTTCTTAACGGCGAAGCCCTGCCTCTATCTTCCCCTTTCCTACCTGATAAACGTATTCTGTAGCCTTCTTTGTGAAATTTTGACTATTCCTTATTTCATCTTAGCACCTCCTTCACACACACACACACACACACACACACACACACACACACACACACCAACCTCAGGCAGAGTTAAAGCCCCTACTAAATTCTCAGTAAATATCCAAGCCATGCCTCTATTTATACACTTTGCATGTAACATAGTATAATTACTTCTCTCTCCCCTACTAGACCACATTAACTGATCAACTTTATCTCTATTACTAGCAACTAATAAAAATCTGGTACAGGTTCTAAGGCCCAATGAATGTTGGTTACTAAAAAGAATGAACCTAGGTTGTGTCCAAGAATACCTGGTTGATTAATTATAATTGATGAGCTCTAACTACAGCCAGAAGCAGCAGCGTAAGGCACCTTCTCTGAGGGGTTTCTGAACTTCACAGGAATGCTTATCCTGGCTACAACTAAAACCTCCTGGAAAGCGTTTTTAAAACACTGATTCTTATATACTAGCCTTGGAGAATCTAATTTAGTAGTGGGTCTAGTGTGTAGAATTTTAAAAATTCCACGGGTGATATCAACAGTGCAGTGATGGCAGTGAATTGGCTAACGTGGAACACAGTTGACCACTAGTGGTTGTGACAAGAGGGTCCCTCCTCAGTGTCTTGCACTGCTGTTTCAATTTCACTTTCTCCTAGCTAGACTCTGAGAACACTCCCATCCTCGATCCATTTTAATGCTTCAGGAAAGTGAAGCTTTTTAACATGGAAAAGCAGGAGGGGCGGCCCTCTAACCTGTATGCCTCTGCTCCAGGAAAGTAAACAGAACATGAGTGACATACAGAAACACCCACATAGATGGCGACACTTTGTCGGTTCCAGTACTGTCGATACTGCGATTGTCTTCACTAAGGGGTATGGGTGTAAGTGGTAGAGTGCTTACCAGCATGTGCAAGAAGACACTAGGTTTGATCCCCAGCACCAGTGACATGCACACATGGAAAACATATCTAAGCAGAATTGAGTCTAGCTTTATATTATCACAGAGTGCTCAGAAGTAAGTCATTCTCAATAGAAGTATATCAATAAACAGCAAATGGCTGCTGCAATTAATATTTTAAGTATTCATACTGTGCTCAAAAAGAACCATTAAATATTTACTAATGAACCTCCAAGAGAAAAGGGACAGCGTAAGCATTTTCTCCAACTATCAGAGGGCCTGTATTTATAAAATTTTCTATCAAAAAAGCTAAGAAAACTTGATAGAGCTCAGGCTCCAGGGAGAAGCCAATGATTGTGGTTAGCCACGTAGTAACAGGGTAGTCTGTCTCCTAAGCACAGAGGAGGGAGAGATCTTAAAGGTATTTAAATATCGACCTTGAGACACATAAAATGTATGCAGTTGTACTTCCTATAAAATCTGTCTGAAGGGTTTCCCTGGAAACTTGAAGCCTTTCGATGGGTGGGCTTGTTGGAGCAAATCAGCTTTTGAGGTTAGAACAGACTAGACTGGAAGTTCTAATCCGCCTGGTCTGCAAAGTAACACCTTGCATCAAAACATAAAAATAGATAGATAGATAGATAGATAAATGTTTATCACCTTCCCCCTTACTTAGTCTCAGAGACCATGAGAATGAACAACTTGAATCTGAAGATAGGCTGTGTCAAATGGTGCTTCTGGTCCTAAACTCTGGAGAGGAAAGGGGGTCTCAAGGAGGAATAAGGACAGCAATAGAGAGAGGAAGAGAGGGCTACAAAGTCCAGATTACAAAGCAGGTAGCTCCATCCTTAAACCTGCCCGCTCTCCCACCGCCGGGTGTGAAGGTAAGCTGAAAAAAAAAAAAAGAAATTCTAATTTAAACTTAAATTTCTCTACTCTACTCTTCTATGTTCACATGTGTCGTATGTGTGATGTAAACTTTAAAAGATATTTTTAACAATCTAAAACTTGGGCTGCAGACTGCTATGCCCAGCAAAACTGTCAATCACCACAGAAGGACAAAACAAGATATTTCATAACAAATCTAGATTTCACCAATACCTAGCTACAAACCCAGGCCTACACAAAATACTAGAAGGAAAATTCCAACCCAAAGAAGATGGCTGCACCAACAAAAACACAGACAATTGATGATCTCATTACAGCAAATCCTGAAGAAGAAAAAAACGTACAAATTAACATCACCAACGATGAAAACTAAATTAACAGGAGATAGCAACTACTGGTCATTAATATCCCTTAATGTAAACGGACTCAACTCACCTATAAAAAGGCACAGGCTAACAGATTGGATACGAAAACAGATTCCATTCTTCTTCTGAATACAAGAAACACATCTCAACCTCAAAGACAGACATCATCTCAGAGTAAAGGGTTGGGAAAAAATATACCGATCAAATGGACCAAAGAAACAAGCAGGTGTAGCTATCCTAATATCTAACAAAATAGACTTCAAGCTAAAATCAGTCAAAAGAGACAAAGAAGGTCATTTCATATTAGTTACAAAAAAAAAATCCATCAAGAGGAAATTTCAATACTGAACATTTATGCCCCAAATACAAGGGCACCCTCACATGTCAAAGAAACACTTCTAAAGCTTAAATCATATATTAAACCTCACATGTCAAAGAAACACTTCTAAAGCTTAAATCATATATTAAACCCCACACACTAACAGTGGGAGACTTCAACACTCCCCTCTCACCACTGGACAGGTCAGTCAGACAAAAAATGAAGAGAGAAATAAGAAAACTAACATGTTATGACGCAAATGGACTTAACAGACATCTATAGAATATTCCATCCAAACATCTCAGCACCTCATGGAACCTTCTCAAAAACTGACTTGATACTTGATCACATACTTGA